ATCTATTGCTCTAAACTCACATTTCTGATCATAATTTTAATATTTGAAGATCTTTTTGAAAATTGAAGCATTTCGTATCATTTTTTTTTAACAAAAGGAATTGTGAGTGATGGAAGAAAACAAAGAAGAAAAAAAAATATTTTATTTATTTTAGGTGAAAATTTTCAACATTTATCGAGAATCGTTTAACATTATTAAACTTAGAATAAATTAATTTAAAGATATGCTTAGATCTTAACATCTTTTATTACGTTGACATCACATGATAATAAAATATCATCTATGTCTATTTGGTTGAAAAAACTCTCTCCCTAGTAGATTATATCTATTTTCATATTTTAGTACCATAACAAAAGGGAGTAAAAGTGATATTTTTAATTTTACTTTCCTTAACACAACTTTTAACTAATAAATTTTTCTTCTCATACTTTTTTTTAAAAAAAAGTCTTCAATTTTCCTTATATAAAACTCATTTGACTTTTTTTTTTATAAATTTAATAATATTTTAATAAAACCTCACCACAAAATTTATCAATTTTTCAAACAATATCTTTTTTTTTTAAGTGTATTATTTTTCTAACAACTTTTACAGTAAAATTTTTTTTAAATAAAATTAGTATGTAACTAAAGAGGCCCGACCATGAAAAGATGAAAATCAAGGCAATTGATGATATTGCTAGTTAAAAAAAAAAACCTCACTGAGACGAGACAAGACATTGACTTCTAGCTCAAAATATGGCTTTGTTTCTCTGAATTACCACTTTACCGGTTACCATTTTTTCTTGTTTTCTACTTGAGAGGTTGAAAAAATTTCCAACTGATGATAGTTGGGCTTGTAAGGGGGCTTCTGAATCTAGTGGACAAATTATTGTAAGGGGGATTTCAATTTTCAAGAATAAAATCATGGACTGTAAATGGGCTTGAAGTCACGGTCGTTGGATTGAATCAAATGTGCTGAAAACCTGTCCACAATCTGCTTTGGTGGAATGGGATCAAGATAAGAGATATTCACAAATCTCTTTTGTAGTTTTGTGGGCTAAAAACACTGCATTCACTATTCATGCCCATTATTATGATTTATGTGATCTAGTGGTAGAATTGTATCTATTTTTAGTCATTTGTTTAAAATTTAACCTATAATCTCTACATGCCAAAAAGAATTCTCAAGAACTATATACCCAATCAATCTTGGATCAAGATGGGTTGATAGGGTTGGGGTGAGTCAAACAATGATCGGCCCTGGAAATATTCGAAGATGGAATTTAAGTAATATTTTATATATTTTAATAATTACATTTTTAAAATTAATTATCAAACACTAATATGATTTTTTTGATTTTTTTTTATGTTAGTTGCATAACAAGAAATAACCCTCTATTATCTCTTATTCATGAGTTTTTACTTTCAACAAAAAGAAATTATTACTGAATTATTTAAGTCGTTAGTGATTTTTTTTTTTTTTGTTTGAATGCGTTACAATTTAAAATGAAGGAATTCAAACTTCAACCTTAAAGTTAAGAGTGAATCTTAAGGAGAAACATATAATTAGTTATCTGACCATGAAACTCAAATTTTCAAGTAATTGGTGTATATCAAAATCATAACTAAATAAACTTAAACACTTAAAATTTAAAAATGAATCATTGAGTCTGAATGTCAAATTCAATACAAATATGATTTTTGTGATATCATAATATGAGAAAATTTATAGTCATAATAGTGGCACTACACAACAATCCTAAAGGCAACATCTCAAACTCAGCTCGAGCTCATTCACTCATTCAATAGAGGTCAAGCTTAAAATTTAGTACTACCTATAATTACAGCCGCTTCGGACAATCATAAAGATAGTGGCTTAAAACAAAACAAAGGGCAGAACAAGTACTTAGAGTCATTCATTTTCCGCATAGACTTATCCTCACAGAGGCCACTGCAGTCGATTTCAAATCTCCTCCACCCAATTAATAATCCAACGCTATCCAAAAAAGAAAAAGGGGAAGATCATAGAATCCCTTCGTTCCATAATCACTTTTTCACCAGCACACCCTTAAATTATCGTTTCTTCTCTCCTTTCCCCTTTCCCCTTCTTCGACATCCTTAGCCATGGCTGCTGCTATCACTGCTGCAGTCTCTTTTCCTTCCTCCAAGTCTACTTCTCTTTGTACCAGAACATCCTTAATCTTACCTGATCAAAGAATCACCTTCAAGAAGGTATATCATATAATGCTTACTTTCTGTTTCCATGGTTTTTGGCTGTGGCAATTGGCATTATTATCGTTTTTTTTCTCTGAAATCTTCCATGTCATATGTTTTTGGCTTTCAGGTTCCTTTGAGTTATGTTTCCAGTGCTGGGAGAGTGGTTTCTGTCAGGGCCCAGGTCACCACAGAGGCTCCTGCAAAGGTTGAAAAGGAATCCAAGAAAGATGAGGAAGGAGTTGTGGTTAACAAGTTCAAGCCCAAGAACCCTTACTTTGGCAGATGCCTTCTCAACACTAAAATCACTGGTGATGATGCCCCTGGAGAGACTTGGCACATGGTCTTTAGCACTGAAGGTACAAAGGCATCTGCTTTTTTCTTGCTTATGCTAACTGTTAAGGATAATTCTGTTAAATTCCTCCTGCAAATTAACCATGGAAATATGATGCTTAGAATACAAAGTTGGTTTAATTTTATTCAGATGATTACTTGGAATTTAAAAGCAGTTTTTTTTAAGCTTGACTAGTTGCTTTGGATTGGTTTAGGAGAGGTTCCCTACAGAGAAGGGCAATCCATTGGGGTGATTGCAGATGGTCTGGACAAGAATGGGAAACCTCACAAGCTGAGATTATACTCAATTGCCAGTAGTGCTATTGGTGATTTTGGAGATTCTAAAACTGTGAGTTTCTATTAGTATAAGTTTATTTTGCTTTGACATGTTAGTTCAGGCTCGCAGATATCTTGGAATGAGCTTTGAGAGCTCCTGTGTCAACTTTATATGACTTAAGAGGAGGCATATACCGTATGCTTTAACATATACCATTTGTTATTCTTTTGCTTCACTTTTTTAGTGTTTTTATTTTGGTGTGCTCTGATCTTCATTCAGGTGTCTCTATGTGTGAAAAGGCTAGTATACACCAACGAAAAAGGAGAACTTGTTAAAGGAGTCTGCTCAAATTTCTTGTGTAAGGATGTGGACTTTTTTATTATATAAATTCATCTCTTGCTACAGCACTTGAATTCTGAATTTTTTTTTTCCTTTTTAAATAGATTAAAGCAGACACTATTAGAGTTAGCCTATACTTGGCAATTGCTAATGCTTTGTCTGTCATTTTCAGGTGACTTGAAACCAGGGTCAGAAGTGAAAATTACTGGACCTGTTGGGAAGGAAATGCTTATGCCAAAAGATCCAAATGCCACAGTCATTATGGTACAATCCAATATTCATGCCAAATGCCAATACAAGTTCACTACTATGGATTTCCTATTGTATTTACTTAGTGCTCTGCTCGTTCCTAACATAAGGTTTTAATTTCTTTTTCCCAGCTTGCAACTGGAACTGGAATTGCTCCTTTCCGAGCATTTTTATGGAAGATGTTCTTCGAGAAGCATGAAGATTACAAGGTCAAATGATTTCTTTTCTTTTCTTTTCTTTTCTTTTTTTTTTTTTTTTCTTTTTTCCAATGGTCATGTTACTTGAGAAGCCACCTTCCATCACATAGCCGAAGAATACAATACCTTTCTAACATTGAAAACAATGATTAGCTGTATTCTGATACAGCTATTTGGATCTGTTTTATCAGTTAAAGCTCTTATGACCTGTATTATTGCCTCATGAATGCCAATTCAAGAGATAAACATATCATCTTCCCATGAAGAAAAACTGTATAATTTCTTCAGAGGCCATGTGTTTTAGCTTCATACTTTGATGATAAACTTGTTCGCTTGCTTCCAACAATAGATCATAGTTCAATGCTACAGGCAAAGGAATGTAGTGAAATCCTTGGCTAAACTACATCATTATCTACACAATATTGATAGATTCTTCCTTAACTATTATCACCTTATAAATGCTTTTGCAGTTTAATGGGTTGGCATGGCTGTTCTTGGGTGTCCCCACAAGTAGTTCACTGCTGTATAAGGAGGTGAGAAGCTGAGACTAGTCACATGCTTCTACTTCCTAAATCAAATTGGTATAAACTCTTCATGTTGAGGATCATACTCAAGCATTTGTGATGTTGAGTGGGACAGGAATTTGAGAAGATGAAGGAGAAGGCCCCTGACAACTTCAGAGTGGACTTTGCTGTCAGCAGAGAGCAAACCAATGAGAAGGGTGAAAAGATGTACATTCAGACCAGGATGGCGCAATACGCTGAAGAGCTATGGGAATTACTTAAGAAGGATAACACCTTTGTCTACATGTGTGGATTAAAGGGAATGGAGAAGGGAATTGATGACATTATGGTATCCTTGGCTGCTAAAGACGGTATGAAATGAATTGCGTTTTTCATGCTTGCTAGGAAGTCTCCATACTGGTATTGCTAAGCATTTCCGCTAATTTTTCAGGCATTGATTGGACGGAATACAAGAGGCAGTTGAAGAAGGCTGAGCAATGGAATGTGGAAGTCTACTAATACTTTGTTTCTTGTAAAAATTTCCCCTCTTTTTTCTCCTTTTTTGCTCCTCCTCCCACTCCACTCTCCCCCATTTTGAGAAGTCATCCTCGTACAATGATTCTCACTGCTTTTATGTAGATAATAAGGGATATAATATTTAAACTTTTTTATTTCGCCCTAATTTTTCCTTATGTTAATGAAGAAAGCAATATTATTCCCTATTGCTAGCTCATTTGTTTTTATTACATTAAGAATTAAATACTTAGCATTGTATGAATTTATAATTATGACCTTATTTAAATCAAGATTTTTAATTTTATGAAGTCGAACTCTGCTTGGGTTCATATAAAAATAACACAATCATAAATACACATGTAAAACGGTTTAATTTAAAAAATTATTTATTAACTTTTTTTTTTCAATTTCATCTATTATCTTTGAATTTTTTCATTTATTATCTTTGAATTTTTGCAATCTTGTTTATTATCTTTCACATTTATTTCAATTTCATTTAATTTGTTATTTTTAATGGAAATTTTTTTATTTTATAAGAAAATATTTGGTTCTCTAACTGTATCTCTTTTGATTTTTTAGTCCTTAAATCTATATTCATTGTAAAAATAGTTTTTATTCTTATTTTATTAAATATGTTTTTCAGAAAGCTATTTTATAAAGTGGACTATATACAATATGTCTAATAAAATTATTTATTTAAATACTTTTAATTTTATTTTTGTATTTTTTTAAGAATATTTAAATAATTTTATAGGACGAATTACATATAATCTACGCTATAAAACAAACTTAGTTTTGAAACTTCTCTTTCTAAATTTACTAAGTTTCTCTATTTAAATTGAATTAATTGCTCAAGTTTATTATAAATTCTAATTAATCTATCTTTATAAAATATTTCTTGAGTTATTATATTTTATTAGAATTATAGTATCACTTTTTTAAAACTTAAAAGACTATTTTTTTCATTAAATCTAACAAATATTTTGTATGGTTGATTATTTTAAAATATTTTTCAAAGTTTATAGACTATTTAAAAATAAAATAAATTTTTTAAACTAAAATGAAATTAAGTTGATAGTTAATAGACTAATAATTAAATTAAGCCCATATAAGACTTATTAGGGAAGTTGTGAGTTATAATTTTTAATTTT